CCCCGGGTGGACTAGCCCCGCCCACAGGGCATAAGTGTGCTAAGAGCGTGTGCCCGCTACCCTCCTGCTGTGCGCCATATTACCGCAGAAAGGAAGGGGAGCTGCAAGGTAGGACAGCAAAAGGGGGGAATTCTGTATTTTCCTTGGCATTCAGGACGCCGGAGTTCGTGCCGCGATGCAGGCCTCTCTGAGGGAGCGCGAGCACCGCTCCCCTTAAAGAGGGGGGATATGGTACATTGGACGTGGAGATGGGGGGGGGAGAGAGAGAGAGAGGGGGGGGGGGAGGGGAGAAAGAGAGAAGGAGAAAGGGAGGTCCCCTGCGAGCCGGGACCCCCAGCGGCGGTGGCGGCGGCTGACTAGTTCGACACGCTGGGGCGAGGGGAAGGGGGACGAAGGGGAGGGGAGGGGGGACATCGCACCCGCACGCAAGAAACACTGAGGAAGGGAAAAAGTGGGAGGGAGAGGGACTGACTCGACCACGCCAAGGAGGGGGAGGAGAAAAATGGCTTGCCAAAGGTCGGCATTTTAAACAAGGTCGGAAACTGGGTGGATGAGCGGAAATGCCCACCGGCAGAAGGGGGAGGGGGGGAGGAAGGGACATGCATGAGTGTCAGTGGGTGGACAAGTGTGCGTGAGAAGACCTATGTGCAAGAAGATAAGCACAGGGGGCAAGGGGGGAAGGAAAGAGAGAGAGAGGGGGGGGGGGAGGGAAATTACACCGAGTCCAGGGGGCGCGGCAAACGGAGATGCTATGACGTACGGTTGATGGGCATCTCACTGATGATGGTGCCGTAGTACTGCTCAATCTCACGGAGCTGGGAGGCCTCGTCCGGCTTGACAAAGTTGATGGCCATACCACGGCGACCGAAGCGACCAGAGCGACCGATGCGGTGGAGATACTGCTCTCGATTGAGAGGCAGATCGTAGTTGAGGACCAGCGACACCAGCGACACGTCGATACCACGGGCCCAGATGTCGGTGGTGATGAGGATGCGCGAGTTGCCGGAGCGGAACTCCTGCATGATCAGATCGCGCTCCTTCTGGGGCATCTCCCCATGCATGGCAGAGACGGTGAAGTTCTGCGCGCGCATCTTCTGCGTAAGCCAATCAACCTGTGCGAGCGGGTGGGGCGCGTTAGCTTGGGCGTTTGTGCGGGGGCGGAGGGGGGGCAGAGAGAGAGAGAGAGAGAGGATGTTGTTGTTGCTGCTGTTGCTGCTGCTGCTGCTGCTGCTGCTGCTGCTGCTGCTGCTGCTGCTGCTGCTGCTGCTGCTGCTGCTGCTGCTGCTGCTGCTGTTGATGCTGTTGATGCTGTTGCTGCTGCTGCGTCGGTGCGTGTGAAAAGAACGGGAAAAGAGGGAGAAAAGCCAGACACCCGCAGGTGAAGGCCCTCGGCGGAAGGGGCGGGACGTGCCTTCTTCTTGGTGTTGCAGAAGATGATCGACTGCGGGATTGTCAGCGAGTCAAACAGATCGCACACGGTCTCGAACTTCCACTCTTCCTTCTCAACCGACACAAAGTACTGGGCAATCCCATCGAGGGTCAGCTCATCGCGCTTGACCAGGATCCGAATGGGGTCGGACATAAACTTGCTGGTCATCTCCAGGATCTCGCCCGGCAGGGTGGCCGAAACGAGGACCACCTGGCCGGGGGGAAGGTGCCGGTACACGTCGTAGATCTGCTCCTTGAAACCGCGCGACAGCATCTCGTCCGCCTCATCCAGGATCAGCATCTTGATGTTGCGCACGTTGATGGCCTTCCGCCGGATCATGTCGAAGACACTGGTTGGGCGGTCGGCCGATGCGGGGGAGGGGAGGGGGGGGGAACAGAAAGAAGGGTGTTAGAACGGCCGAGACCACTCGCCGGGGGGGGGGGGGGCGGAAGGATGGCGCGCATGGGCATGCGCACCGGCCAGGAGTGCCGGACACAATCTGCTGGCCCTGCTCCAGCTTCTGCTGGTCCTCTCGGGTGGACGTGCCACCAATGCAGGCGTGGATGTTGGCAGACATGTAGTCCGACAGGGCGGACGTGACATTGCGGATCTGGACGGCAAGCTCACTGCGACCCGGGAAGGGGGGAAGGCCCAGATGGCGGAGAAGGGCGTCAGTGGCGTGGGCAAGTGGCAAGGCTGCGGCCGGCACATGGTGGGAGGAGGGGAAACGCACCGCGTCGGCGACAGGATGAGAACCTGGGTGTCACGGCTATTGAGGTCCAGGCGCTGCAGGGCACAGATGGAAATGAGCGAAGTCTTACCGGTACCCGACTGGGCCTGGGCAATGACATCGCGACCCTTGCAGATGGGGACGATTGCACGCTGCTGGATGGCCGACGGCTTGTTGTAGCCTGGAGGGAGGGTCTTCCGTGAGTGGCGAGCCAGGGAGGATGGGTGGGGGGGGGGGAGAGAGAGAGAGAGAGAGAGAAATGGACAGATGAACAGAGAATGGGAAGGCGCACCGTAGGCGAAGATGCCACGCAGAAGGTCCGGCTTGAGGTTCATCTTGTCGAAGGAGGGCGTGACGCTCACACCGCCGGAGGTGTTGAACGTGATTTTGGAATCACTATCGTGGCTGAAGGACATGGCTGCAGGGGAGGAGGACAGGCAGAGAGAGGAGTGGGGAGGGAACAGACGAAGGAAAGCAAGTAGGGGAAGGGCGGGAGGAGGGGGATAGGTGGGCCAGGTGGACAAGGGCGGGAGGAGGGGAATGGGGTGGGAGACCGCTGACCTGTGGCACTCTCGGCCGGGGGACGGGGGGGCAGCGGGCTTTTTTCTTCCCTTTTCCCCCTGCGTCCGGGGCCCCTTTCCGGGTCGGCGGCGCGAGGCGAAGGAGGCCAGGAGGGCTGAGGAGGCGGGCGGGTCACTCCCCCCCCCCCCCCCCAGCCGGGCCAGGTTCCTCTAGCCTCCGGACGCTCGTTCGGGGCCCCAGGGCAAAGAAGACTCTTGCGCGTATGTATACCCGCACCTAGCGGGGGGAGAACCCGAGGCAGAGGGAGACGCGCGGGGGGGGGGGGTGATGATGCAGACGCCCTTTCGCGCGCGCGCGCATGCCGCGAAGCGGGAAGTCACACCGCACTCCGTTTGGGTGCCAACGCATGTTTCTGGGCGTGATGATGAAATGATGTTCTCTTCTTGGGGAAATCATTACGGTATATTCTGGCTGCGTGAAATGGACGGCGGGCGGCCAGCCTCCCGCGAGGGTGTGATCCTGGAGTGTCTAAGAGCATGGGGGATCTTCCTTCGGAGATTGGTCCTTGGTTCCAGATTGCCCGGCCTGCGGGGGGCTGGCCAGAGAGCTCCCACGCACGCGTCTCTCCGCGCTGGCCGTGCGTCGGTGGCTGGTGGGCTTTCTGGCTCCGGCCGCTGGCTATTAGGATGATCAGCAGACCGGGCACGACGGGGCGATGACACCGCCACCTGGGGCGAATGCCCGGCAACTGAGGGGGCCGGCGAATGGGCTGGGCGGTCAGAAGACAGGCGAAGCATCTTTGTGGATGCCTCTCGCCCTGCCTTTGCCTGTGTCTGCGCTCTTCGACTCCCCCTCGCTCGCTCCCTCAGGCACACAGCTTTGTGCACTGCATCCCCCTCTCGGCGGGAGGGGCATTGGGGGGGGGGGCCTTTCCCCCTTGCAGACCGGCGGAAGAGCCGGGGGGAAGTTATGTGGAATATATTTCACACCACAGAGAAGGACATCCACGCGTACAGGGAAAATGTTCCACAAGGTCGTGCAGCCTTAAAAAAGCCCCATTTAGCGGGGATAAGCGCTCTATTAGAGGAGGGCATTGTGTGCCGGGCAGGCGCGGCCCCCTTCGGCGGAAGCGCCGGCCGGTGCGGGGAACGGGGCTTTCACACCCGGGGGGGGGGGGGGGGGGGGCGGGAGGCGTCTCGCTGCCCGGGAGTCGGGGAGGGGAGACAGATGGCTGGCGGTGTGCGGGGATGTGTATACGTGCATGCGGAGGGGGGGGGGGTGTCGGTGTGTCTCTGGAGGTGTACGTTGCGCGGCGGAGGGCGCCGTCGGGCTAGGGCGACGCCCGGGGGCGAGGGTCAGCCGCCTCTGTACCCCGGGCTCAGGGGCGGGGGGGGGGGGGTTGAGTAGGCGATGAGTACTCGCTGACCGAGAAACATGGGATCCTGGCGCGCTCCACACCCTGTCCGGTGGGGGGGGGGGGGGGGGGGCGGCGGGAGTGCCAGACAACCCTGTGTGGCTCGGAGCGCCCGTGAGGGGTCCGACATGGGCCGGGTGCCAGGCGGGCTGCGCCGGCCCCCGGCGGCAGGGCCTTCCCGAGAATCCGGACGAGACCGGGCAGGGACATCTGGGCGCTGAGGAGGTGGCCGCGAAGCCGGCGTGCCTGCACGCGGGCGGGCGGGCCAGCACCGGACTGGCCTTGGACCTCAAGCTTGCTCTGTGCCTCTCTCTCTCTCTGTGTATTCAACAGGGCCGCGAGAGCGCCGAGCCAGATGGATCGGCCGAGGGGACGCGGCCCGGTGCGGGGATCCGCTTGTTTGTTTCGGCAACCGTGCTCTTGGATTTGGCCTGGACCGGGACGGCGGAGGATGGCTCGGGGGGGGGGGGGGACGATTGGCAAGGCCAGCCCGCCGGGCGCCTGGTTTGAGGTAAGACGCGGAAGACCTGCCTACTGCCATGGGGAGAAAAGGGTGCGAGATTCCTGGAAGCCGCCTGGAGCGGTGTGAGGGCACCCCTGGCCGGGGAATTCTACGAGCTGGTATTTTCATGCCCCTCCCCCTTGCCGGGGCACTCTCTCCGGAAGCCGGGGGTGGACCGCGGGAGGCGGGGGGGGGGGGGGGTGTCTCCTCTCGCCTCGGCGTCTTTTCCTCTTTTCGCCGCCCCCCCCCCCCCCCCCGCCCCCCCCCCCCCCCCCGTACCCCCCCCCCCCCCCCCCCCCCCCCCTCCCCCCCCCACCCCCCCGCCCCCCCCCCCCCCCCCCGTTCCCCTCCACGGGTCTTCGGCCAAGGGCGGG